TGTTGGACGCGAGGCGTTGGGATCTTGTCACCATAGCTCCGGGACGCGAGATTTTAGGCTGGGGTACATCTCCTGATGGAGCATCTTGAAAGACCGTAAAGGTGCGAAGAGACATGTTGACTCTGGAGTGTGACGAAAGAAATAGATCGACACGAGGCAGGAGGATGTAATGTAATGTTGTAGCGTCCGAAAAGGCTAAGATGGTATGAGGGATCAAGGGCGCCGCTGTCAATCGGATGCGCGAAGGGCTGGGTGCGAGGGCACACGAGGAGTCGCGGTGGTGGTGGTGGTGGTGAAGGTGCAACTTGAAAGACCCGTAAAACGAATTCTGCGCAAAACTTAAACGGGAAAAGGATCACGTGTGGAGTAAACGAAATTAGGACGCGTCGTACTGTCACGTGTGTCACAACAGTCGCGAGGCATCATTTTTGGACATGCGCGCCTCTTGCTCCCCAACGCTCGCCGTGTCTGATGCGGTTTCACCTATCTTCGCCTATTGTCCTCGCGGTTCTTGACATTTATCGCACACATACCGGCTTCATAACGTTATGTGATGCTGTGTTGAATGCAAAACCTTGTCGCTGCTCGCTGCTTGTTACCCAATGGAAGCTGGAATCGTATTCTTTATCCACGGTGTTGAAGATGCGATTCTATTTCTAGCCGTTAATGCACTCTTATCGATGCATTTTTTTCTATTGTGTGCGGTGAGCCTCATTGGCTAAAGACGCTGCACGACGTCTGTGAAGATGTCCAATGTTCACCAGATAGCCCGGCTCGGAACGTCAAACTAGGAATATATTAAACGCCGAAAAAAACGCTGCATATGCGTCTGTCTGTCAGATGTTGGACTTATTTTCCAAGAGCCCAATTCAAAATGTGCTCTCTCATATTGTATTTTTGACAAGGTTTGCGTTGTCCATTGGAAGCTCGATCGCTTTCTCCCGATAAGGAATGCGATGGATCGTACCCTCTTGTTCGTTGAATAAGAGGTTGGTCTAGCCTTGCGGAGTCCACTTAATTCAGCACTTCAATCTTCCGTCGAGCAAATCTAATTGGCTCGGCACACTGCTCATTTGTCGCTCATTCAAGGTAAGTTCGACCCGCTTCGTCAGCCCCGCAATGAACCATTCCGACCCATGTTTAGGAGTTCCCGCAAATGTATTTGCCTTCATGCTATCATCCAGCTGCTAGACGAAATTCTATCCTCATTCAAGCAGACGTCGGCGGATTGGTATTCGTTATCATGTTTCCCCACCTTCGGAAGTAAAAAATGGGGGACACTTTGCCGTTTTTCGCTTGGGATATCGTCATCCGATCTTCCTTGTGGTCTCGTACGTAGGGATCGATGCAATGGAGTCTGCATTAAGTTCGCTGCCGAACTTCCAAAGAGGTTCATGTTTAGCCTCGTGGCTGTTGTGCGCCAGGTAGGGTTTCCTAATTTGGCCCCGCCTGCAGCCCCGCCGTTCTCGCACCAGAGGGGCTAAATACGCACGCACACAGGAAATGCACCCCCTCCTGGCTCTCCGGACGTTACCACGAACCTCTCCTCTTGTAAGTTTGGGATATCCCTCGATACGGATCAACGCGCGGAAGCCTAGTCTGTCAGTACCGGTACGTTTTGATATTGATACCTCATGTCATACACGCGCAAAAGGGCTGTCTGTCACGTTTTGGATTTCCATCCATTATATATGACCGCATTTTCATTCCATATTTTTCCACTTCGAAGTCCCCGTTCGCACTGGTGCTAACAGATTCCCTCCCGCTTCCCTCCTCTCTATTTTCTAGGCCTTCTTTCCGATGTCTTCGAAGACCTCTCCTCAAGCCGCCTCGCCCATCCACCCACCCGTCGGGACCCTCATAGATGGAGGTTCCCTCGAGCTAGTTGAAGTTCTGGGTGTCGGCGGCTACGGCGTCGTATACCGCGCGGTCGACCCTCGCTATCCATCAAGATCATACGCCGTCAAGTGTCTAGTCGCATCCGGCCACCAAACCGCACGCCAACGGCAGACGCACATTCGCGAAATCGCGCTGCACCAACTCGCCTCTGCCCACCCAGGTGTTGTGACGCTCCATCGTGTCGTGGATCAGGGAAACCACACTTATATCGTCATGGACTACGCACCGGACCACGATCTGTTCACGCAGATCCTGCATAGCTGCCGCTATCTTGGAGACGACGGCCTCATCAAAGACGTCTTTCTCCAGCTTCTTGACGCAGTTGAATACTGCCATTCTCTCGGTATTTACCACCGAGATCTAAAGCCAGAGAATATTCTCTGTTTCGATGACGGTCTTCGGGTCGCCATCACGGATTTTGGCCTTGCCACCACTGACAAGGTCAGCGACGAGTTTCGCACAGGTAGTGTCTACCACATGAGTCCAGGTATGCGACATACTTCTTTTATAAAAGTCAGACCTGACGCTCTCTCTTTTCTGCAGAGTGCCAAGGCGGTGAATTTGCACCCACTGGCCACTACTCGCCGATGTCCAACGACATCTGGTCGTTGGGAATTATCCTTCTCAACCTTGCGACTGGTCGCAACCCCTGGAAGTCCGCGACTCCAGGAGACCCCACTTTCCAAGCCTACCTGCGCGATCCTATGGCCTTCCTACCCTCCGTCCTCCCTATTTCCCCAGAAATCAACGAAATCCTCGTCCGCATGCTCGAAGTTGACTGGCGCGAACGCGCCTCAATCCGCGAGGTCCGCTACGCCATCGAGGAGATCACGAGCTTCTACTCCGACGGCGTCGTCTTCGAGGGCAGCATGGCACGGTGCCCCTGGGAGTCGAGCATGGACATCGACTCTGCGTCTTCGAGCAACGAGGACGAAGTTGGCCCCCAATCTCCCCCCGCGCAATCGCCCCTGCCCATGCCCGAGGAAGATGTCGTGCCCAAGTCACACTGGAGCAAAGACTCGTCTTCGGATATTGTCTTCGCCGCCCCTTCATTCGCGGGCCACTCGTCGTACGGCGCGCGCTGGACTACACACTCGTCTTGCAACGCCACCTGGGACTTCGAGTCGCCTGTCTCCTCCGAATCGGACTACGAACAAGACGACCACTACCATATGGATTTCTTTGACCGCTCTGAAACCCCTTCATCCGCACACACTGCCCAGACCTCGATGCCGACCACGCCTGAGTGCTTCGACCAGACGTTCGGTGCAAGGCTCGCCAAACCGGATCTGCGCACTAGCTTGATGATCAACACTAACATCCCTCGACCGCGCATCTACGACGCCAGCTCGAGCATGTCCTCGTTCTCTCCTGGTACCTCCATTATGCACACCGCCATCGAATACGACCCATATTCCTCCATGTTCTTCGTCAACAGCGTCAACAGCCCTGCCTCACCGAAGGCTGTAGTCGTCATGCCGGACTCGGCGATTACCGCTGTCGGTGAGGACAAAGAGATGATTTCTCCTTCAATGTGGACCCCCTCGTCCGCGACGCAGATGTCCTCGCCTTCAACTTACTCTGACTCCTCTTCTTTATCTTCTTTCGCCGGCGAAGACCAATTTGAGCGTTCAAGAACGCCGTCTCCAGAACCGAACACCACCGACGCGTTTCAATGGGCGTCGCGTCCTCTCCAGGTAGAGTCTCTACCTCTCGAACAATGTCAGCTTTCTTCCTCCGTTTCTACTGCGATGACCGACATTCCTTCCGATTCAAGGCTCACCACCGCATTCGCTGCACAACGGCGCCGCGCCGGAACCGTCTGCGCTCCTCCCACCCCTACCTTCGTCCCCGCCCCCGTCGTCCCCGCCACAGCTCACGTACACGGCAAGTCCTCGCCGCTCGGCCGCCTCGCAATCAAGCTCTTCCCTCGGGCGCCATCACCGTCGCCTGCACCGCCTACACCAACTACGGCGGTTCCAGCTGGACGCACTTCAACTGAGCCACCTCGTGCACCCACTGCGCGCGGTCAAGGCGCTGCTGCGACGCCTCACGCGGCTGCCTGGCATGCAGCAGAAGTGGGGCGCAAGCAAGCGGGCGGTGGACGATTTCATTTTCAGCAGCAACAGCAGCAGCAGGAAGACGACGATGACGAGCACCGACGCGGAGTCGCAGCTGCCGACGCTGCTCCCCCTGCCACACCTCACGAGCAGCGCCATCAACTTCGCTCTACCCGCCATTGGTTTCTTCCAGGAAGATTTAGGCCATGCGTCGACGTGAATTAGCGTCTGACTCCGAGCTTTCAAGCTTCTCTTTTAAGCGGTGGCCGCGCCCGCTCTTATTCACGCCGGCGATAGATTTTATTTTTTTCTGTAACCCAAACGTTCGTTGGCATCCTCTTTTTCTTCTGTATCTCGCATCTCTACCAAGCAACTCCAACTCATCATTACCATGCATCACTACGTACAACTCAAGCATCAATCCATCACCAAGCATATCATGAAGCATATCAATTACCAACAGCATTATTATATATTACCTTCGCATTTTCTTTCGTACGCCGGGGCCATATTTGAGCATTCCCCTGACACAATCGTTTTTTAAACTTGCTCATTTTAACTTATCTCTTTCGTTTGTACGACACATTCTTTTGTACTATTATTGCATAGTAAATCAAAGCAGAATTGGAGTTTCATTATGGGTATTTCTGACCGAATATTCAAGAGTTGAAATGGATTCACGTACGACCGCCAATAAACACAGGAAACATCTAGGAACACTCATTCTTGAACCGTCGATCTTCACAAAGCTTTCGAAGTGTTCAATTCGCTGTGTCCTGCCGTAGTGAACACAAGATCAGCCAGAGCTACACATGTTCGCGATGTTCTGGGATAGCGGCGACGACGACGCTAATATATCCTTTGTGAAATCCTCCAGAACGATTGCTCAAACCTTATCTGCACAGTGCCGGCTTAGACTGATAGGCTACCTGGACCACATTCCAAGATAGAGTATACCCCAGTGTATCGTCTTCGTGCTACATAGCGTGAACAATGATGGATCCAGAGTAGCATGTTACATGCAGAGACAGAACAGAGGACGCCGTCGTTGCACAATGGTAGTGCGTTGCTTTCCTATCACTACTCCTTCGTCAGGATGGCTAATGGGGAGCGAAAAGTAGGCAGAGGCTGCGGGTTCGATCCCCGTCGTCGGTTTCTCCATTCGTTGTCTGTAAAACTTTTTTTCTTTTTCGCTTTAAGGACCAGGATTGGATTTAAAACAACTTACAGTACTTAACAAGTCTCGAACTTCTGCAGTGTCCGAATTCCCTAAAATGGTCTTAGGGAGGCCGACCGTTTTCATATTCAACAGATTTGGACTCGGTCTGTTGAACCAAAAGTTAACAGTTGAAAGCTATGGGACACACCGATTCACAACTGTGTCGCGCACTTTTGACGAACATGAGACCAAAAATGAATATAAATTAAGTGGGAATGTAGGAACCGCCATTCTGTACGACGGAAATTTCGTCTGACGATCACAGCTATGATAGATATGTGAATGTAGAATATATAATGCACGCCGCGGAAGAAAGGCCAGAAATAACACGAGTAAAATAATACATGACCGCACCCACAATGTCTTCATGCATCTTCATCTTCGACCTCTTCTATACGCGCACTACGACTATGCGGGCGCGACTCTTCCGACTCTGGTATTTCTTCAATAAAAGCGCCTCCGTTGTCTTTATGCTTCTCGGCGGACGATTTCTTGTCTTTCTTGTCACCTTTCTTCTTCTTGGACTTCTTTTGGGGAATATCCCATTCCCACAGAGGTATAAATGATTCAACCTATGAGAGATGTTACAATGAACATGATATGTCACGCAAACAGAAAGCCGAGAGACTCACAAATCCGACATCGGCGAAGAGTTGAGGGAATATCCAGATTCCAGGGCTAGCCACGACGATAGTGATGATGTAAAAGATAAGACGGACGATAGCAAGCCCAAAGAAGAGACCAATCAGGCCGAGCATTGCCATACTCAGATACCACACCCCCAGACGCATGATGGGCGGCCACAGCGGGAACATGACACCCGCAAGCATAATGGCCACCATCAAAATCCCTCCAGCGTACGTCGTCCATTGCGATCCCTCGTAGAACCAAGCATAGTATTCATCGGGGGAGAACATCTGTTCTGGGATGATTTGGAGCGCTTTGGGTGATGACGACGAAGAGCCTGTGGGCCCGCCCCGCTGGACACGTAGGAAGAACGCATAGGCGTTTACGGATTGTAGAGTCTGTTGCGCCTCCGTTTCCGATGTAATTTTTGGTGCGCCTTTAACTTTGGCAAAAGCGGGTGACAAAAGAGCCTTAATAGCGGACTTTCCTGTTTTGTGAGCGTCAATACTTGCAGATCTCGCCATGATGCGTAAGCACGCACCTTTGAAGTAATCCAAACGCTTCCCATTCAAAGCACCGACGCGAATTTTCAAACCCGATCCTCCTCCCCTTAGGAACTGGGCAATCTTCTTTATTTCGGGAGGCGCTTTGGCTTGCTGTTCCATTTTGGTAAATCAAGCGATGTAATAAGGGTTCGCTTGTGCTGTTTACTGTCCGAAAGGATAGCCACAGCAATCCATTAGAACGCTCTTCAAGAAAATCTTCACAGACTAGACTCACAATATCCAAGCGCAGATAAAGCGCAGTAGCGTCCGTGGAGGAGGAAGAGAGTTGTGGCAGAAAGCAAGCTTGTGCGCTGGCGGGACGGTGCACAAGGACACGTCACAACAAACGTGACAGTATTATTGGCACTGCCACTGATCGATGATCCCAAAGCTCAAACAAGGGAATTTTTTCTCATACTGGTAGTGTCATTCGGAACTGTCCATTCGGTACGACCCTGTACGACCATGAGAAGGAATGACAGCGTATTGGGTTGGAAAGGTCCTTGGGTAAGCTTCTCCTTCGGTGTTTTACTCTCCCATTATTGGATCCTAAAGAATTCTAGAGTACACCTTCAGATCGGCCAGGCTCACAATCGGAGTCGCAAGCATGGTGGCTTCCTCTAAACTTATACAAGTTGCTGAATCGAAAGTCAAATTGTCCGAATCTACGTGGAACTGCATTCTAACTGTGACAGAAAGGAGCCTCTTTAGAAAATAAATGAAGGATCTTAGGATGATATTGGCCACAGATGGTGAGCAAAAACCAAGACGTTTTTGAAGTCACTTGCCGACATTTATCTTTGTTGTGGTCAAAGTAAACGTTACCCAATCGAGCTCTCCGACAAGAATATGTTGCTTCTCCGGCCCGTGCTACTCATCTTGATGATGCTATAGACGGCGCCCTTCGGTATGGACCCATCTTCTCAAAGACACGCTCAATTCCAAAGAACCATAAAGAACTATCACATTGTCCCACGGAGGACAGAGAGATTTCGCATATATAGACAGGTATTAGTCGCCTATGTGTCTCACTACCTCCAACTTGCCCAGCCATGTTGTTAATAGAGACCCTCTCTCCAGACAAGCTCGGGATTTTAGCCTACACTTCATCTGCTCTGCTTGCCTTCGGCGCCTACCTTGTATACGCTGCATTCTCCCCCTCCACCAAGGGATCGATCAGAAAACTAGGTGGCTTCCCCGTTCTGACAGCATGGTCTTTCTTCACCAAGCGATACGATTTCTTATGGTCCAACTTCGCGAAGAGTGCCGATCCGCATTTTAGATTCCAAGTCCTCCAGGTATGTCATATCTACTCGTCGTCAGCCTCTTACTGCTGATATGGAGTGGTGATTAGCACCAAGTAGTCGCACTGCGGGGTGAAGAAGCGCGCCAAGTTTTCTTCGATACGAAAAGCTTGGACTTCACAGAAGGGTATAAAATTCTAATGGGAGCTGTGAGTCGGTACTAGATCCTTGATTGACACCTCCTCACTATACCCTACATTTAATTCACTCAGTCGCCTTCTTTGGATGACATTGACGTGAAGACAAAGTTTGCAAATGAGGGTGTTTCGTTTTTCAATAAACAGCTCGCTATCTTGTTTACCAACAAACGGAGGCTGTCAGATAGTAAGGTTGGCTATTCGATTCATGACTGGTTCTTAATATGTTTCGTTTCCCAGCGCTGCCATTACTTTTCGACGATGTTAATCGCCGGATGGTTATGTGGGGGAAAGAGGGACGAATGGATCCATTCAAGGATATCTACGACGTAAATTCATCTATATTGCCCGATGGAATCATTTATAACACCAATAACTGCACAGCTTGTGTTCCAGATGACCACACGGATGGCATCATGCGACGAGCTATCCAAGGACCTTGACGCCATTTCGGAAATTCAGAAGCTATACTGGATGCTCGAGAAAAGCGCCACGCCTACAGCCCTTCTCCTACCCTGGTTCCCATCCCGCGCCAAAAAGAACAAGGAAATCGCAACTAAAGAACTCTTCATGAAGTTGAAGGGCTTCGTCGATATGAGACGGGAGGCCAAGGTTCCTAGTTCAGATGCCATCGACATATTAATTGGCCAAGGACAGTCGACGCCCGAGATAGTTCAGGTGCGCAGATGCTTCGGTTTTTCCGTGACAAACCGATTGAGACCTTTATAAGTTTATTCTAAGCGTCGTTTTTGCTGGAGTAATAAACACGGGAATTAACTGTATGTCGATTCCCGCACGAGAAGTCACACTTTCATTTACCATTTCTTAGCATGCTGGGCGCTGGTTTTCATGTCTTCTCACCCCGAATGGAAGGTCAAGGCTAAAGCAGAAGTCGACGCCATGATCGAGAAGCACACCAACACCACCTCCGGCGACCCCCTGCACAAACGCCTCTCGGCCGTCCCGGTCTCGGTTTGGGAAGAAGAAATGCCAGTCATGGAACTTATCATCCGCGAAACCCTCCGCCTCGTGATGTCGACTGCAGCATTACGCCGCAACATTCTTGAAGACCTCACTGTGTCGAAGGGTGTTATTAAACCCGGAGACTTTGTGGCGTACTCTGTCGCTGACGCCCATCGAAACCCCAATATCTACAGGCAGCCTGATGAATTTGATCCTGATCGATTCAGCCCGGGACGCGAAGAGGATAAGAAAGCAACATTTGCTTTCTTAGGTTGGGGAGCTGGTGTGTCTGTTTGAAGTGTGCATGTGATATGTTTGAACTGATTTCTGGGTTTGTAGGCCGTCATCCATGCACAGGCATGAAAGTCGCGAAGTTGGAAATTAAGCTAATCTTGGCTATGATGCTTGCCGGGTATGATTTCGACATTGTTGACAAGGCTGGGAAGGCTCCCAAAGAAATTCCACAACCAGATAGAAATGATATTCACCAGGTACGACCCATTTTTTTCCTGTTCCGTTTCAGTTTCTAATCCCAATTTTCGCTTTTGATTTTCAGGCGAGGCCAATCGGAGAACCGGTCTATATGCAATTCAAGAGAATTGTTGACTGAATTGATTGTTTGTGTTAGTCATGTTTCAATATCCGATCTATATGTCCCGTTGCCAATTTTTAAGTACCTATTGAAATAGAATTTTGTGTTTAAGACTCATCGTGGACGCTCCGTAGGATCAAAGTTGTCAAGCATGTTTTCGTGGGTGCAATGAAACCAGTTCTATGAAGTATTCGCGAAATTATTGCATTGCACAATCTGAACTGAACTTATTACTCCGCACACTGACACCATATGTTCTGACAGAATTTGCTATATCCGAACTTTGAAAGAAAGATCTGTTAGGGGTACAGTGTGTAAAGGATGCTATACAGATACGCTACCTGTCGAATCAATTGTTTTTTCGAAGGATCACTGTCTTCGTTGGTTCACCCTACGACAATGACCTCGCGTGGGTCTGACGTAATTGAATGGTAGAGGACCCAGAGATAGGCGATCCCGCAGTTCAGGAGATGTAATGGATAGGCGACAAAAGCGGTCGGAATATGGTGAATCGAGAGGGCGGCCATGCGAAAGGCCGCGATGGGGAGTCCAACAGTCGGATGAACGGCCGTTTGCGCCCGCAAAGTCACTAGGTAGGACGAAGAAACAATGTATAAGGGGCCCTTCTTTTGAGATGCGGCGTTCGGAAACCACTCCGCGAAACATCACAGCGGCGTCTTTTTTCTTGAACTTGAGCCAAAAGACTGGTGTTCCGTCCTCGTTGGTGCGCACAATACGTTGCAGTTGATGGGTCAATCCTACCCAAGA